TTACTATGAAGGTTTTTGTTTTGTAAAACGTAGCGTAAGCGCTACGTTTCGGAAAAACCACAAAAATCGACCTTCAGGGGGATGAAAGGGGATGTTCCAGGGTGAAATTTTGTTGGAAAAAGTTAGAGCCATAATAAGCAGCCCTTGTCCTACCAGAAAAAAAATAAAACAAAACTTGTGTCGAGATTGCGAGGTTCAACCTCTCTTTCCCGGCCTATAAGGTCCATGTTTCATTTAGTAAAAGAGAATTAATTTCGTCATTTATGGCATGCTCCCAATCTAACCTATCAGCACTGTTTTTCATTTCTTGATAAGAACTTGGAATGCTATGTAAGACTGATTGAGCACATAAAAGATAGCCAGGGATATCATCCTCATTGTATGAGACGGGAGGTAGATTTTTAATCGTATCACTTTTCCGTGGCTCTGTGATTGTGATACATTCTGTTTTTTGCTTATTTCATTCATTTATTTTAGACTCAATTTTGTTTAATGGTACTACTGATTTTGACACAATGTTGAAAATATCAGTTTGGGCTCCCGAGTTACCTAGGTATATCAGATGTTACAGCTCCAGATTTAACATCATCTGGTTTTTCACTGTCACATTCATGAGACTTATATTGAAGGTTTTGAAAGTTACCCCCTTCCGCCTGCGACCCAGGCCTTGTTTTTAAATAAGTAGTCTCATCCACAATAACATCTCTTACCACAACAAACCTTTGCGATTCAACTTCCCACACTTTATACCCATTTGGTTCATATCCCACTAATATTCCTTTCCATGACTTCTTGAAATTTCATTTGTCTAACTTTTTCATGAACATAAACAGTTGAACCAAAAACTTTTAAATACCTACTTTATCAGTGGTTTTCTATTATGCCACAATAATTAATATGGTGTTTTATTTTGCTTCAGAGCCCTAGTTGGTGAAATATTTATTAAATAGGTAGCGGTTAACACCCCTTCTCCCCAAAAAGCTTTATCTAACTGTGAACCATTCACCATTGTACGAGCTTTTTCAGTTATAGTTCTCACCATACGCTCTGACACACTATTTAACTGTGGAGTACGTGGAACAGTTAAGTGATAAGTTATGCCCTTTTCCATACAATAATGTTTCATTTCTGATGACAGATATTCTCCACCATTATCACAATATAAGTGACTAATTTTTAACTTAAAATGAGCCTCACTTTTTGCCACATAGTCCTTGAAACTGAGAAGGTATCTGATTTGTGTTTAAGAAGATAAGTTACACAATAGTGAGTAAAATGTTCTACAAATAAAACAAAATAATTTTTATCAGTCAAAGTCGATGAAGTTATGGGTCCGCAAATATCAGAGTGTACTATAAATAATGGCCTTTTGACATAATTTTTATCTTTATTAAAGGGTTACCGTACTTGTTTCCCATCTATACAAGCTTCACATAACTCGTCAGTAGGTATAACATGATTTATAAGAGCAGTGGCGTAGCCAGGATTTTGTCTTGGGGGGGGCAAATTTGCAGGAAGCGTCTTTTGCGGCCCTACCGCGACCGCAGGCGCGAAATTTTTGGGTGCCACGCCCCTTTTTCAGGTTTCTTTACGCTATTTTTGGGACTGTTTATCTTAATTTTGAAGAAATATTCATAAAATTTAAGGGTCTTGGGGGGGGCAAATGCCCCCATGCCCCCCCCCTGGCTACGCCAGTGTATAAGAGAAATATCATCAAACATTTGTTTATTTTTTAAATCTATAAATTTATTTTTACTCATGTGACCTAGACGCTGATGCCATATTTCATAGTTTGTTTTTATAGAACTAAATGTATGCAACAGATTAGGCAAAGTAAAATCAATACACATCAAACTGTTCAAAAACTTACCCTGCATGACCATCTTATCACCATTCCGTATTTCAACACCTTCTTTTTTAAAGAATATTGTTAGACCGGCACTTTGCATTTTTGCCACTGATAGCAAATTGTAGGGGACATCTGGGCAGTAGAGGACATCTTCCAAAATGCCTTGAATCCCAACTTCCAGTGAGCCCTTCTTTGTCGCTGTTACATATTGTCTATTTTTCGCGACAGATATTTTATGGGTGAAAAATGAGCACTTAGGTCTGATCGATTAATAATGTGATCAGAAGCACCAGAATCCAAAATAAATGTAATTTTCTTTTTATTGTCTTCATAGAACTGTTGATTTCCAAGCATGAATGCAAAACCTTGACTTTCGTTTGCTTGTAGCTGCACAGTTTGGACAGTTCTTTGTCTTTGTGACTGTTTATATTCCTGTGCTTTCTTATAAAAGAAACAGTCCTTTTTAAAGGCCTTCCACAGTGATGACATTTGGCTGTGTTTCTTCTTTTCTTATTTTTAAACTTGTTATTTTGGGGAAATTTGCGGAACTTGTTCTGGAATTTCGAAGTGTGCGATGGCGATAGTTTAAACCGACGATTTTCATCCGACATCGAAGGTTGCTTGTCACTTAAGAGTGCTTTTGTGCTTGTATCTTTGTTTTCATTTGACAGTTTTACCTCGTGATCGAGTAAGCGTGTTTTAACGAAGGCCAAACTTAAATTATCCTCAGATAGGGTTTCAATGGCTGTTATTACACCATCATAGGAGTTCGGAAGTGTCAATAGTAGGTGTGACACTTTGTCCGTTTCCTCTAGCTTAGCTCCTGTTGCTAACAATTCGGCAATTAAATCATCAAATACTGTAAAGTGTTGAATCATTGAGGTATCACCCTGGAGTTTTAAACTTAAAATTCTTTTTCGCAGTGCCAATTGAGATGCTACACTTTTTCGTTCGTATATTTTATCGAAATTTTGCAAAATTTTCTTAGCCGTAAATTCTTCTTTTGCAAAACCCAGAAATGAGTCTGACAGGTACTCCACTATGACATTTTTCGCAGTACGCTCTAGTTTTTGCCACTCCGCGGTAATCGGATCAGGGATTTCATTGTCTATCACTTTTATAGCGTCAAGTTCGGATAAAATCGCTCTAATGCGAAATTTCCACACACAATACTTTTCACCGTAAAACGGTTTAATTTTAATGTTCCTTTACGCACTTTCACTTTCCGTTGTTAGCAGTTAATTCACTTTGACACAAAATCACTAATTGCGATATTTATTAATTACTGGAAGTCTTTTTAATTATGCTTATACACACGCGATTTTCAAGCCAATTCAGTGTTTGGGCCCATAACGTGTTGGTTATGGGATAAAATAATACACAGTGGATTTGGCTTTTACTAGAAATTTTATATTTCGTTCTACACAAAACTGCAATGCACTTGGAAGGCATAACCATAACTAACTAAACTTTATGATTTCAACCCTCAAAATATATTCATAAAAGCTTTTCAAAGAAAACAGTTTTTTTCTTTTAATGTAAACATCCTTGCTTTTATATAAACACTTTTGCTTTTTATGTAAACATACCCTTGTAAACAAACTTAATCAAAATAACAAAGAATATCGAATTAATTTTTTATATTCCAACAATGTTTGCCTGTCTCCCCAAGCTATATACGAACACCAAACTCGGAACATGACGCGAGCTATATCTCTATGTCAAAATTTTTTGACAGCTGTCAACGTCAAAAAAGTTTTTTTTCAATTTTACATTTTTCAAAAAAAAAGTGGCGGATAACGATCCCCGAACCCCAAAAACCCTAAAAAAAATTCTCATCGATATAAGTCAAAAACTGGAAGTTTCACAACGAAAAACGTAATTTTTTGACGTATGTCAAATTTGGAAGACGTAACCGGATATAAGTTTTATCGTTCGATACTTTGTTAACAATAATAGATGGCACCTGTCGTCATATCATATGCATATTTTCAAGAAAACCCTTTTTTCGATAAATCGCAATTATTAGTTTTACCCCTTTAAACCACCCTCAAAATTATTTGCAGGTACTGTTAACGGTGTATATTGGTACTGCCTATAATTTCCAGTGCCATTTGTGCTCGAGACTAGGGTGGAAATGTCCATATATCCATAAAATCCCTTTTTTTTTAGAATCGCAATAATCAGTTTTACCCCTCTAAACCGCACCTTCGAAGTAATTTGCAAATCAAATTAGGTACCCCTAACGGTGTATAAGTATATTGGTACTACCTATAACTTGCAATACCATTTGTACCCGAGACTAGGGTGGAAAAGTCCATATTTTCACAAAAACCCCTTTTTTCGATGAATCGCAAATATTAGTTTTACCCCCTTAAACTATCCTCAAAATTATTTTCAAGTCAAGTGAGGTTCCCTAGACGGTGTATATTGGTAGTGCCTATAATTTTCAGTACCATTTGTACCCGAGACTAGGGTGGAAATGTTCATATTTGCCCAAAAACCTTATTTTCGATGAATCGCATTTATTAGTTTTACCCCCTTGAACCACCCTCAAAGCTATTTGCAAGTAGGTACCGTAAACGGTGTATATTCGTACTGCCTATAATTTCCAGTACCATTTGTGCATGAGACTAGGGTGGAAATATCCATATTTTCACAAAAACCCTTTTTTCGATGAATCGCAATTATTAGTTTTACCTCCTAAAACCCTCGAAGTAATTTAAAACGATATATCACTCGACACCGCCTTCTATTTAAAAAAAAACGTTCCAAAACTGCGCCCAGCTGTCGTTTTCACAGCGGAAGCTGTCATTTGTTTTTTTAAAAAATAGAGCCTCCAGCGTTTTCAGCAGCAAGCTTGAAAGGCTGATGGGTCGATATGATTTCGCTTCCATTTACGTTTCCTGTCCGGGTTTTGGAAGAAAGGCTGCTTTTGCTATCCTCCATGCTCCTGGCGCATAGCCCGTGGCAATGCATGCTCGGAAGATGCTACAAAGATGTGGGGCCAGTATGTCGAGTCCCTTCAGAAGAGCCGGGCAGATTCCATTTTATTTGATGATTAAAAGTGTTTATTCTCACTCAATGCTTTTATTTATGATTTTTGAAGCAGATAATAAATCTAGTCTATTTCATTGAATTGTGTTTCTAGAGAGTGTCAACAAATCCTCCAGAAAAGAAAATGGGAAAATGAGCAGATCAAACTCGATTTCGAGAGCGGTGTGAAAATGGGAATTGGAACGTTCAATTTGATGATTTCGATGCTTCCAACGAAAATAATTAAGCTATTAGAATTCATTGGTTTTTCTGGAAATAAGGTAAAACCAAATTCGAAGCATCTCATACGCACTAATACCTTATTGCTCTATTTTCAGGAACACGGTTTGAGTGATTTAATAGACGGTTACCATATGGACGGGATCAGACAAATTTTGTGCACAATGGTACTCTTAGGTTACAATCTTATAGTAATGCATGTTATAAGTCACAAAGAAGGTGACATGGAAATATGTGAAGATATATTGGAAAAACAATTAAAAAAATACCCAAAGGGTGTTTGGTTTCTGTTTTTCCAAGGAAGAATGGAATTCATGAAGGGAAATTTGGACGAAAGCATTAAATATTACACAAAGTCCTGGAAATCTCAAGACATATGGCCGCAGTTTCATCATGTGTGCTTTTGGGAGCTTTTGTGGGTCCACTGGTAAGCTTTGACTAATTACAAGCATAATATAATTAACTTTATTATTTATTGTAGTTTGAAATGCGAATGGAAAGAAGCGCTCAAATTTATCAGTATTTTATATAATGAAAGCAAATGGTCCAAATGTTTGTACAGTTACCAAAAAGCCGTGATAATGATTATGTTAAAAGGAGAACTCACTTATGGAGAACTTTTTGAACTGGATGATCTTTTGAAGTAGGTTTTCATATTAGGTAGATGTGCATTTGAGTAACGTGACACACCAAACTGACATACAAGTATTATAGTACAACTTTAGCTTCATGCCTATAAAGATTGTGCAACGTCTTCTTAAAATCTCTCATTTTTATCGATGTCGTCATGCTTTCATTTATTTATTTTTTTGTAGACAAGTGCCGAAATACAAGCAAAGAATCGCTGGAAAATCATTACCGATGGAAAAATTCGCGGTGAAAAAGTCGGAACGATACTTCTCGCAAAACAAATCGTTAGTTCTGCCAGTAATTGAACTCATGTTTCTGTGGAATTTATTAAAAATAATGAAAAACTATTCTGTAAGCGGTGGTATAATGAGACTAATTGACGACGCAGAAGCGGACGTCGATTCAAATCTTAAACCATCCAAGTATGACCACGATAACAAAGCTCTGGTTTATCTTCTCAAAGGTGCTTGTCTAAGGCATATGGGCGCCCCGAATCAAGCAATAGAATACTTCGAAAAAGTTATTGGAATGCAAAAAGAATTAGAGGAAGATCATTACTTGGTGCCTTATGCTATTGTGGAACTGGCTTTAGTGGAGTGGGCCAATGGTAATAAGGAGAAAGCTATGTATGCTTTGGAAGATGCAAAGTAAGTTTTTAATTTATAAAGCAATTGAGGTAGATTAATTTATTTTCGTGGTTTCAGAAAAAATTATACAAGCTATTCCTGCGAGTCCAGGCTACATTTTAGAATACACACGGCGATGACTGAGTTTAAAGCGGAATTGAAAAAACCAAAACGGCCCTAAATAATTTGTGATTCTCGATTGAAAACTAACGAAATTAAAAATTATGTTTAGATACTTATATAGTCTAAGAGCCCGTGACTGCCAGACCAACGTTATTTTATAGTAGCTGAAAGTTCTTCAGCGCATGCTTCCAACACAGGTTTCGACAGTTCTAACCCTCAGCCAGACAAACATACTGGGTGATTAAAATTCGATGTTCTCCATTGGAATCTCGGAAACGGTAAGAAATACAAGGTCGGTCAAATGAAGGCAAAGTTGCGCAATTTCTTGCTCAACAAAATGCCACTTCGAAATTCGAAACATTCCGAAAACTTTCGGAGATATAGGGAAAAACCGAAATGTTGCAAAATCTTTTTTATGTTTTCCTGGGCTTATTTGAACAGATATTCTAAAATAAATTTTACCTCTTTGTAGCAAATTTTCCCCCTCTACACGATAGTGTTGCTAAATTTGGAATGCGACGTTTCGTCTTTGTCCGACCATCATCAATTTAATTTTTTTGAATACAGACCTGTATTATCTATTTTATTAGATAAATTCTAAAATAGTCAGATCTGGGCTTCTCGCCGACTAGGGTACCGCCTCTTGGTTGCCGATCCATTTTCTTGGAAAACATTTATACAGGAAATCGCAAACAGCACGAGTGTTGTGAGGCGGCGCTCCATCATATTGAAACCAAGTGTCGAACTGAACCAATCGAATTACAACAATATCTGGAAAACATTTCTCAATAACTTAATTTTTTCAAATACAGGAGACCCTTTTACACATTAAAGCAATGACTTATTATACCCATCGATAAATTATAATTTTCCAGAAAAATATCGCATCTAAAGTAGGTTTTTAAATCCACACGCCTCTCTTCCACACAGGTCATAAGTCTTTTTTGTCTGACAGGTTTACTTATGTAAATAGTTCAGAGAAGGTCATCTGTTTTTGTTTTTGACAGTTATACTCTTCAACCGTAATTTGAAATAGTTTTCTATTTAACAAACTAATTAGAATTATGAGAACGCCAAAATTACCAATCTTAATAAACAAATTCATTTCTTATGCTGATGCAGCTTTCAAGAACTAAAGATTAATAATGTAATTGGTAGCGTAGGAATACTATGTTTCTAATTGAACCTCAATAAAAAAAAATCTAAAATAGTCAAATCTGGGACCTCAACCAAAACATTATTCCACCAACACGAGAGGTGGTGATCCATGCATCATGTTGAAACCATGTATTGATTAAATGAGTTATTGGAATGTTTTCCAGATATTGTTGTAATTTGATTGGCTCAGTTCGACACTTGGTTTCAATATGATGGAGCGCCGCCTCACAACAACTGTTTGCGATTTCCTGGATGAATATTTTCCAAGAAAATGGATCGGCAACCAAGGAGCGGTACCCTAGTCGGCGAGAAGCCCAGATCTGACTATTCTAGAGTTTTTCTATTTATTTAGGGAATTTTTTATGTTTTTATAATTATTGTAATCAGGGGTCTAACTATCAAAAACAAAAAGGATGGCCTTTTTTGCACTTTTTACGTAAGTTAGCGCGATAAAAAGGTACCTACTGTGTGGAAGAGAGCCTTGTGGATTTATGTACTTTAGATGCGATATTTTTCTAGAAAATTATAATTTATAGATGGGTATGATAAGTCAGTGCTTTAATGTGTAAAATGCAAGGTTGTTTGAGTTAATGACGTCATCTGGGGTGCCTCAACATAATGCAAATCTCCATAAGGCACCCCAGATGCGTCATCAAGTTACCCATTACCAGACAACCTATTAACTTTATGAACCTTGTGTAAAATGGGCTCCAAAAAATAAAATAGATAATACAGGTCCCTATTTAAAAAAATTAAGTTGATGATGGTTGGCCAAAGGCAGAACGTCGCATTTCAAATTTAGCCACACTATCGTGTAGAAGGAAAAAGAGGTGGAATTTATTTTGAAATATATTTTCAACATTTCTTTATATCTCCGGAATGTTTCGAATTTCGAAGCGGCATTCTGTTGAGCAAGAAATTGCGCAACTTGGCCTTCATTTAACCGACCTCGTATCTCTTATCGTTTCCGAGATTCCAATGGAGAGTATCGAATTTAAATCACCCTGTATGTTGGTCTGGCTGAGGGTTAGGACTGTCGAAACTTTCTGGCTATTGAGAAAACATCTTTTAATAGTTAGCCAAGTAACATGTAAAAAATTCAGCTTTTATGATATGACGTAAGTGCAGTCAAATTTTATACACTTTTGCTACCGGTTATCTGCCAAAGTCACGATGACCCAAAGTACATAAAGGGTATTCTTTCGATCCAATCGTACTGAAGATACTAATCTGATTTTACTGAAAGTGATTTTTATTTTTACATCACTTCGCTAAGCTCTGTCGCATCGAAAGAACGAAAATCTATATCAACTGATTTGAATTCACAAATGATCTCTGAAAGAAGTGAACGTAAAAATTCTGCGATCACTTGGGGCTAGGATTAAACTGATTGCAATCATTTGGTGGGTATGGTGGAGGAAGTTATCCAAAATCGAAAGAACACGTTTCAATCAGTTCAGGTGAATTCGATCAGTTTGTTCAAAACGAAAGAATACTAAGAATAGCTCATCGTTCCTACCTGTGGTTGGAAGCAAGCGCTGAAGAACATTCAGGTTTTACAAAATAACATTGGTCTGGCAGTCACGGGCTCTTGTTCTATTACTTATTTTTCATTAAAATGAACCAAACAAGTTCAATTAAGAACAAATATTTATGAATCAAGTTTTCATAATTTTTTTTTGGTTTGTGCTCGCTGGATTTGTTTGCGCAATTTCTGTGAGTGGATCCTGCTTTTCTATTTCTAGTCATAAAACATAAATATGCCTGAGGCACAGATATATTTTAGCTTATTGTTTTAAAAAAGGGCAAGTTATTTCGGCTTTATATTATAGGCCTTTTTTTAAGTTTACGACAATTTTTATGTGAGTTTAGTAAAACCAAATGTCTCTATACAGCGTGGGGAACGAAAACCTTCCCACCCAGGTTTTCTCAGGGGTTACGTTTTTAGTCAAAAATCGCTCGGACACGTTACTTTTTGTTTTTTGAGGGACACATTTTATAGGTATTTTCACCCCCTACCAGTCAGCCCCTAAGCGGGAGGGACAGGTACCCTCAAAATTTCAAATAAAAGGGGGGTCGAATGATACGTCATTTGGTAGCTATTAAGATTATATCCCCAAAGTCTTAAATTACTACTATTTACCCTACCAAAATGACGGCTCGTCAAAGTTAGGAAAAAAGCTTTTTTCGAGTATCCGAACTGTGTAGTTTTTATCACATAATAAAATAAAGTATTGCCATTCAACAGTTCAGGTAAATAGTAGCAACTTGAAACTTTGGGGATATAATCTTAATAAAACTGGCTATCAAATGACATATCACTCGAACTGCTTTTCCATTTGACATTTTGGGGGTACCTGTCACTCTCTCTTAAGGGTTGACAGGTAGGGTGTGAAAATATCAATTAAATGAGTCTCCCAAAAAAACAAAAATTGACGTGTCCGAGCGATTTTTAATTTATCACCTAACACCTGAGAAAATCAATCTGGGTGGGAAGTTTTTCGTGCCTCACCCTGTATATATATTTAGATATTAATTTTCTTATTTAAGGGCGCATCTCTTATTTACATGGCTGTGTTGTTCTACAGTTGCTTATTTTAGAAGTATACCTATGTGGTTATAGTTTAAATGTTGTGTACCTATATATTTTTGTTGCGTAATAAAATAAAATATATTTAAGAAATATTTTGAGTTTTAGTTGCCTAAATAGGTAATGATTATTGGATTTAGTGCTGATGCTTGAATTGATACAGGAAACTCCCAAACAATTTAAACAAAAAAAAACATTGATGCATTCTGATAATATGCTAACAAAAACATTGTTCCGAGAATGCATCGACAAACCGGCCAAAATTCTAATAATCAAGTTGTTTATATCTATCGGGACACCACAGCACTTAGGCCATAGTAGGTCCATTGTGCGCCTCCACAAGAGAAGAGGTCATCCTTAGCTCGTCATCCCTAGTGATTTAGTTTCTGCAATGACGTCGCCGAAGGCGGTGCCTCTGATCTCTTCTAGGGATGGGAACGATTGAATTAATGTGACTTTGCGAAAGAGCAGTGCAGCTACAAAGAATGTGCTTCATCGTCTCGTCTTCTTGATTACAAGCTTTTCACAAGGGTTTGGTGCAAAGATGCAACCTAAACAAATATTCATTTAGCTGACAGTGGCCAGTCAAGATGCCTGTTATTAGGCGTAGCCTTTTCCTGGTCAGCGACTGTTTCTGGCTTGCTGCAGCTTTATCTGGGTAGCTTAGCAGTTCCAACCAATTGTATCGTTCCAGCGCCTTTTGAGAATTTGATCATATCTGTGGCCGCCGACGTAGTCACCCCCACGAATGGCTCCGGTCCAGAAGGCTGTAGCCTGGCGTCCCTCCTAGCCAGAGTATTGACAGCCCGATTGCCTTTGCTGTGATTATGACCTTTGATCTAGCTGACTACCACCTTGTTTTTTATCAACGTCTCTGTGAGGGTACTTTGGCAATGTTGTACTAGTTCTGGCGTGAATCGTGTTCTAGATGGGGCTAGTACTGCTTGTCTGCAGTCCGTATGGATATGCACGATCTTGTCAGTGATATTGTTGCTGACTATCTGTTGTGCAGAGATGGTTATGTCAGTAACTTCCGTTTGGAGGATATTTGGCATGGAGCCGAGGACTTTAGTTACGTTCACTTTGAGGGCTCTGGAGTATACTCCGCATCACGAGCCTGTTTCAGTTCTGGATCCATCAGTGTAAATGTTTCTTACCCCTGCCACTGTGTCGTTACCAATGCCTCTCGTGTTGATTGCATAGTGTTTTTAGAAGACGAAATATGGCGTTGCGGAGTCCACTCTGGCTTCCAACAGTAAAAGTAAGTTCGTTGTCTCCAATGATTGTCTCGCGCCATATGCGGACTCTCTGCAAACATCACAGAGTGGTAGCAAGGTTGTACCAAAGGTGTACATCGTCATAACGTGGTCTCCATGTCCAGCCCTTGTTAGCTCGTTATACCCACCATTAATAAGGCCCCTTTGGATCACCTATCGTACATTCCGGACGTTACTTCAATCTGTGGATTCTCCAGATTGCCAGATAAGTGCACTAACGTCTGGGGGAACATATTTTGTAGATAACATTACATTGATACCGGATTTTCTTTAAGTAGTTTAATATCAATATATTTTTTTTTTTTCATGATTGGAATACCTCAAAAATAATTGCAGATTCCTGAGGTCTCATTATTTCAAACTTAAAATCTATAGTTGGCATTGAGATCAACAAAAGTGTTTGTTTACTTCTTTAGAGGACTTGTAGCTAATTTTTGGGAGCTCTATGCCATAACATTTCGCGCCTAGAGTTTTATAGCTTGAACGCCCTTACTGAAACAGGTTTAACTGTTTACATAAATACCTATTGTGTTATCCATTTGTGATCACAAAAGGTACCTGTAAAAGTAATAAGCCCGAGCATTACCTAACACCTAATCTAGGCGTGATACCGATTAGCATCACCTTCTTAGAGTCTCAGGAGCACTGAATGTTTTTTCTGATTCCATAATTTCCGTGACATACGTAAATTGGATTATTTTCTGTTTAATTGACTGCCCTAATTAATGGTTAATTGTCAGTTGATGATACCCAGTGATCAAGGTATTTTTCTTTAATTAACGAAATTTGGAATGATTTGGTTTCTTGTAAGATGCAGAAATAAAGTAGAAAGTATTACGTGGCCGAATACTTAAACGTTTTGAGAGTGTGAAGGGATTTTCATAAGGTCACTGGCGGCCTTTTTTTTTAAATTCTGATTAATAACTTGTGAATTTACACATTAGGAACTTGACGACCACTCACCGGCAAGCAGCTAGCCTGACACTCTTATTGACCATTTTATTTTGTGTAACTTGCTTTAGGGGAAAATGGGAGGGTGGCAGAGCCATTTCAGTGTTTTTGGGGTTGATGGACAGAGTGTATTCGGTGCACCATCTTTCTTCAATTCGAAGAGCATGTTGCATGCGTTATTCGCAAAGCGAGTTCTCGAATTTATCTCTATGCAAGATGACTACGTCATCTGCGTTAGCTATTGTGTAGTGATTGTCATTGTTTAGGCGGACAATGAGGCTCTCCAGAACCATGTTCCACAGGAGAGTTGATAGCACGCCTTAATGTTGAAGTCCTGCACACTAAAGCCCGGGACACACCTATCATGCATTCTTCCGATGCGACTCCGATCATACAATCAGGGTCCTTATTCTTAAAACAGGAAGCAGCGTTCCCAGGAGAACGAGTGTTCCGCTGCTCCCCTGTTCCAAGAATAAGGACCTTGATTGTATGATCGGAGTCGGATCGGAAGAATGCATGATAGATGTGTCCCGGCCTTTATTTGTACGATTCTTTCGGAAAGCATATTGAATATCCATCCGGTAACAGTTTCCGGAGTATTCTTTTCTGTTAGCGAGTGGCTGATTTGTGGAAAGGTGGTCAATGTCGATGAAAATCCCGGAGTTTATTCCGGAACTATTTAGGGAATTCTATTCGAGTAGGGCGTCGGGTTTTTCTAGATGATTCATAGTCAGTCTAAATAAGTGCTTTGTTATAATATGGAGTCAGTTTTCAATAGATAGTAGAAATTGGACAATTATTAAAAACCCTTGAATAAATTTGCAGGAACAAAAAATAAAAACATTACTATTTTGAATAGTCGGCTCTTGTAGTACAAACTAAAAGGGATTTCCTACTCAGCGCATGTCATGAAACCAGATTTTATTGAAACTTAAAAACAAATAAATTATTGATCGAATTATCTTATAATGTAGCTCTATGTGCTTTAATTTTCCCGCGAGTTCGGGGAATCGGGCCCATCATACTTTCGCACGCCGCCATGTTATCGATTTTCCGGAAAAACAGACCGTCGAGCTTCTCCTTGAAGCTGAGCTTTACGTTTTGCCAGCTGATCGATTTTCGAGCAAGTCCCCCGCCATCAGTTATCCCAGTTATTAGGTGAAAGAAAAACAAGGCTACAGTGTTGTTTTTCGTTTACAACTAAAAACATTATTTCGCGGTGACTTCTCCAGAAAAAAATTACAGGAAGTTATTGAAGAAGTAATTAACAGATTGCTGGTTTATGGTGAGTAATAGTTTTCATCTGTGATTTTAATATCATGTAAACACCCACATAGATTGAATTTCGATTAACGGCCAGTTTAGAAAAACTGAAGCTTGTTCTAATTGAAAGTATCCGAAATGTAGGTACAAGTATTTTCGATAAATCGGCATAGTAAACTCATTTATTTGAAATGCAGTTCAAGGTACCTACGTCCTCCCGCATCAATAAATCGAACCAAAGCAATTATTTTTATTTTTAGAAGTTACAGGGATGTCGTGTACACAAGTTATGTTCTTTTGACATTTTTCGAAGTATTTCTTATTTGCCTAAACATTGACCGTAAAAGGTGCAAAAAAAATGAAATGCGCAAGAACTTGACAATGATTAATGAAAACCTTCCTGGTGATGTTTTTTTGGTACAAAGTGATTATGTCTGAGTTTTGAACAGATAAATTTAAATCAAAAATTTTACATTTTGGGCTCAACTTGCGAGGTTCCATACAGCATATGGTAAAATTTTTATCAACGTACATCGTTCACCTCCCACACAAGTTGATGCATCAGTTACGGAAGTAAATATATTATTCTTTGAAGCAACTTTCGATTTAAAAAAAAAATAATACTCATCAAACTCTACATCTTCATTTCCCTGAAAAATGTTCCCAAGAAAAATCCAATAAAATCCTATGCACATTTAACATTAAAAAACTATTTACCAGCGCCTGGAAACGGTTAATCCTTCGGAAACGATAAATTTTAACCTGAATTTCACTTGATATTTTTGATTTTAAGAAAACCCAAAATGGCCATTTTGCGTTTTTGTTCCAAATAATCTGAAGATGGAACTATCAAGATAATTAACCAAAAACAAAACGGTTGTTTCTGAAACTTATAAGTTTAATCCTAATTCATCCCATCATGGGCAATTTCCGATATTCCTCTATAGTTTCCACATTGAGCCTTGTCTCGCAAGTCATTATAAATAACAAGGAATCATCATCATCGTTGTAGATATTGAATCGCTAGGTAAAGAGTTTGATAAATCTTTTTGCAGCATTGTTATACAGTGTGTTCCATAAAGTTGGATTTTTTTTTAAACTATAATTGGAAATAAACAAACAAAAATATCCAATGTAAATTTGACTATCATAACAATAAAAGTAATGTGAGTAAAGAAAGTCTTGAACAAATTTAATTTGCCACAAATCAAGAACAACGAAAACATTCATATTTTGGACATGAAAAATAGGTACCTTTACCCTTAAAAATGGACAGGGACATAACCAATTTGCGTAATACTTTTGGGGCCAGGAAAATAAGGCCTAATTATTGTTGTTGTGTAAACCATTTTTCAGCATTGTTACAAATATATAATTATTTCCTTTGGTTTTCACCAAACAAATAATGAAATTTCATTATCCATAGGAAATTGAAACAGATAGCGGGATAGTTTATCGGTGGAATTAGCATTCAAACGACATCGACAGCAAACTAAATACACTACAACACACTTCGTTATCAGTCGTTAACGCGGAATAGTTTTAATGAAATACTTGGTCGAGTGCGAGCTTTTTTATTTTTTCAACACGAAATATGCCGAAAACCGGTAAATATACCAGTCATTGTCGACAATCGTTTAACAGTTAATTAAAAAATATTAAATTCATCATGTTACCTGGAGCAAATTGAAGCTCCAATATTTATACGTTAAAACGATCAATAACTTTTATAAAATTTATAAAGGTTTACTGAGGCCTGGAATTCACAAAAAAAAAAGTACTCTAAAGTACTTTTAAGTATATTATTGTTCTAGTAATTCTTTATTGGTATTAAATCTATTTATTTTAGTTTGCGTTGCGTTCATTTACATTTCATAAACTTTTTAGTTTTTTTTTATTTTTATTTAGTTTTTATTATTTGCTTATTGAATATTAGGTGATGAGCCATTCGAGTTGAGAAAACAACGTTCTCGTTTCTTATCTTGGGTGGAAATTCCTTTGGGATATTTTGCCGAGTACACAGTAAGTTGAAACACGTGTGAAATCGTTAAAATAAATGCACAATTAATTATTTAACTTAGATGATTGTGTTCGGTTTTCTAGTATGGGAATTGAATACCTGTTGCAATACGGCTTCTCTATTAAATTTCAAAAATTTGTTGGACAAAATAATAGCTTCTGTTTTGATGTTTCGAATACACTATCGATTTTGTTATAAAAAATTCCAAAATTAATTGGTTTCGAAAATCGGAGGAAAGGCCTAAAGAGGAAATACCATCGGAAATTACTAGTCCTGTTGATAGATGCTTTTGCGCTGAATTGTATTATTATGGATCAAGATCAGTAACAGCATGACTGAAAAGAATAGGAAAACTGATTCAGAAAAGATATTTTCCTACTTCTGATGCGTATCCTCCGATTTCCAGCTCCACTCACGGCAGTTTCAACTCCTCAAAGTAAAATCCGACACCCGTGTAATTTGATTATAATTTCTTTTTCAACTGACCAAAGCTTGGGTTATTCGAAAGTTAGCAAACCAAAACTGAGTTTACACAAAAATGATATGAAAATTCTGAAATATCTGAATAATATCCAAAAAAGTGACTTACCTATAATTCAACATTCTATTAATTTTTTTCCAGATGGCAGGAGCAGATCCAAAATGGCAAAAAGATGCAGCCGACCAGAACTTCGACTACATGTTCAAGCTCCTCATTATCGGAAACAGTTCAGTAGGGAAAACCTCGTTCCTGTTTCGCTATGCTGACGACAGTTTCACGTCGGCATTTGTCAGTACAGTTGGGATTGATTTCAAAGTTAAAACCGTTTTCCGGCACGATAAAAGAGTAAAATTGCAAATTTGGGTAAGTAGTATAGTGCACTTACAATAATTTATTCAGTACTTTTTTCTCCCACATACTTTTTCTTTAACATACAAACAAAAAAACAACAAAAAGTTGAGTCGTGACCCAGAGGAATGAATATAGATAAATATAGTTATACACCAGGTATAGCAGAAGTGGGAGAAAACGAACTAACATTGACAAAAAATTTCAAACATTCAAAAAAAATAACACAATCAAACAAACCAAAAGTTTTTTTCTAACAATAAAAGAAATATAACCGGTAAGATAACATTTTTACTAGCAAAAAAGAAAGGAACTAAACAAAGTTTCCGGGCATGCATAGCAAACGAACAAAAATAAATAAAAAATACAAAAATCAAATAAATCTGCAATTGCTGTTTATTGCTTCATCGTATTTTGAAGTGTTGGTGAAATCGCGTTCAATCAGAGTATTCCCCGAATTTATATCTAATCAATGAATCAATAGAAACTCAAATATAAACCTTCTTCTGATCGAATAATCAGTGTTGATCCCATTCAAGATCTGTCATTGTAGATATAATATCTCTAGATGTTTTTCTCAACTTCCCAACTCACCGTGCTTCTTTTTTGAGTTCCTATATGTTTCTATTTTCTGGAATATTCCAGTCCACAATTCATTTTTCTTTGACCCTATATCATTTTTCTGACCTTTACTTGTGCGTTCTTTTAATCATGTTTACTGTGATCTCTGTGATGTGTGACAAAGCCTTATCCTGTATTTCTCTCTCAATGTTTTCATCCCACTAGTATGACTATCTTCTTTTAGAGTTTTCTTGGCTTTGATAATGAGAATTACCTGAAACCTGGTTCGAACTACTCGAGAATGAACTTTGGTTCTCTTGGATATGTTTAATGAATGGCCAAGATCATTGCGGAGCATCAACTCGTGTTGTATTGAATAATGATTGAACTGCGTAATGAATTTTTTCTTCAAGGTTTTCGGTAGAGAAATTTTTCAAAAGTGTCGGTATATAACAATATCATATTATAATTACTGCACAGATAAATATTACAGTAAACAAAATTTCGTGTCACCAATAACTAGGAGAGCGATCCCCCTCTGGTTTATCCCCTCCAATTGGGTTTCCAGATGGTTATGGATTGATATTTAATTGAATATTTTATCCTGTTATGACTTTGCTCCAAAAAATTGGAGCTTCAAGACTGAAAATCAATACTGACAACGCCAGTTTTGGGAAACAGGGGGAACACGCAGTGCATAATCTAATGGCATGTTAACGTGCCCATTGAACTTATGAGTTGAAGGCAGATAGATAAGATAGATAAACGAGTTGCACTCGTGCGCATTTCTTCATTATTTTGGTGAAGGATTCAGAAGGGAAGGCGAGTCCTGTTTACACCTCTGATGCATCCCTACCATGACCCCCTTCGACCAGCTCACTTCTTCTGGTCCCTGGAGGGTCTTGTCATCAAAACGTGTTTCTGTGTTAAGATTTCATTTGTATACACTAGTCGGTATACATTCAAATTTAACGCGATAGAGGGTACTTCGACGATTTTAGTGGCCTACGAAGAGACTCAAGAGTCGATTGACTATTTCAAACTCTAAATTTAGGTTCACATAGGTACTAAATATTGTTTAATGTAAGGGTCTCCGGCCTTGCTAAGCGTACCGAAAAACTCTACTTACTTCATTAAACATTTGAAAATTAGAAATTGAAAATTTTTGATATTTCCATTAAAATTTTAAAAAAAATTGTATATATAGGATACTGCAGGACAGGAAAGATACCGAACAATAACAACCGCCTACTATAGGGGAGCCATGGGATTTATTCTTATGTATGATATCACAAACGAAGAGTCCTTCAATAGCGTACAAGACTGGTAAATAAATACTGCGAAAAATTGTTTTACCCTAATTTTAAATGTGTATTTTCAGGGTAACGCAAATTAAAACGTATTCGTGGGATAACGCCCAAGTAATCTTAGTGGGAAACAAATGCGACATGGAAGATGACAGAGTAATTAGTTTTGAGAGAGGCAAGCAACTAGCCGAACAACTTGGGGTCGAGTTCTTTGAAACTAGCGCTAAAGAAAACATGAACGTCAAGGTAAGTTATATTGGTCAGGCGTGCTCATGTCCCGATTTGCACTGCAGCCTTGAGGTGTATTGTGCTACTCTGGGTCAAGCAAGTTCTGTCCCTTTGATGAGATCTAGCAGCTTGCTGACAAGTTTCTCATGTGGGAGTCCACCTCTCTTATCTGAGTACGCGTTAGTGACAGTACTTCAGCTGTTAGTATTTTTGAGGAGTTATCATTTATCCCCTTCGAGTGTCTTGTTTTGTGTGGATGCCAAAAGTTAAGGTGCTGATGCGTCGAACACCCATCAACTGCCGTCTTAACAACCTGAGCTGGGATCACAACAAGTAGAGTTCTACTTTCATGACGTCACCGCGACCTATTTATCGCGTAAAGTACAGGCGCTAATGTCGGCTGCTAGGGAACCTGACGTCATGAAAATTGAATTCTACTTGTTGTGATCCCAGCCCTGCTTCGATATCTCAAATGCCGGTTCTAGTCTTGTTTAGGGTGCAGGTGCGCCCCTTCGGGCCTTTTCGTTGTCCTTATCTCCTAATGCCCAGGAACCCACAAGAGCTTTATCCTGTTATTCCTTAACAGTTTCCAGGTCGTGTATAGGCATTCCATCGTTATTTTCGAAGTGAATCGATGTGAGTTCAGAGCTTTTAGAGCAGCCTGACTGTCTAAGAGAATGCTTATCTGGTTGTTATAATCCAGCTTCAAATCAAATCTTTCGTCTGCCTGACTGTATGATCTGCGAAACCTCACTTCTTTTCCTACTACATCCTCAGCTTTCGTCTTCAGTTTCCTTGAGTTTTATTTCCTCGCTGTTGACGTGGTTCGCTTGCTTATACCGATAGACAAATAAAAACCCCTCAAATTTCTTATTGAGGGTGGTTTGTGTAAGAGTTCAAAACTACACCAACAGACATCCTGCCCTCAAATCCATATTCCTAAGTAGTTTTCACATAAAACCCTTTTTAATCTCATACATGTTCTTTTTGCGATTTATTTTTCTACTTAGTGTCAAAGTCCACTGGCTGCTTAGAATGGATTAGTAATAATACCCAAGTTTCTTTTTAAGGCTGTATTCGAGCGCCTAGTAGACATAATCTGCGATAAAATGTCTGATAGCCTAGACACCGACCCCAACCTCATGTCGGGTTCCGGAAAAGGACAGCGCCTAACTGACGCCCCGCAGGGTCCTCAAACTGGAAATTGCAACTGTTAATACCATTTAGGCTAAGAGTTGTACAGTGGAGGTTTAGTATCACTTATGGGGACAGCAGAATAGAGAGCGAGATTTTGTTTCAATTCCATACATATATTTAATCCAAAAGGAATAATTATTCATGTACGTATCTTATTCATAATTATTCTTATATTAATTGGTCAATGTTTCTATCTAAACTGCCAATGGTAAAAGACAAGTACTTGATATTAGATTACGTCAAAAAAATGTTTATTATATTTTCATTTAAACGGTGTAGGTATATAAAATCATGCACAATCTGCAAATTTTAATAAGTTACTAAACTGATATTAGTACAACAAAAATAAATTGAATGTTTTGTATAACCCAATACCCCAAAGGGGTTTCCATGTTCAAATTGTACTTCACCTATGACCAGATGTTACAATAATATACTTTTCTCAGTCTTTTATTTAAAAAAGGAATTTTGACTGTTTAGTAAGGTCCAGAAAGTAATTATTCAATATACAGCAGTCCTAATAAGCTACAATTTCAAATATATTAATAGAACCTTACTAAACATGGACTTGTCCTTACTTAATGAGACTGACTCTACCAAATTTCCAAAAATGCTTCTTAATTAAGTGCATAACTAAGACATTCTTAATGCGTGTTTAATAAATTATTATCGTTAACGATGCTTCAACGAATCCAAAAAAAAAATCAATGTTAGTTGAGAGCCCTTAATTTTAAATACATGTACCTAAAATTTTCTATGGTTCCATTTTGTTAAAACACATCGACATGGAAGATCCCAAATTATTATGAAATAATTTGAAACATTTCCAAGTGGAGACTTCCTATAATTACTGTTTCCACAAATGTGAAAGGGTCGCAAATCTAAGTATCGATCACTCTTATCTTGGCATCCTTGATAGCTTGGACTCTATCTGCTGCTATCATTGGCATTTAACAATAATTCTCCGATCTAAGAAATGAGCTCCGATGGCTTGCCTAAAAAGACCTGAACTTTTGAAACAAATTGTCTTATTGAACCATCTTTCTACCATAGCAATGGCTATATTCAATTCTGTTTTATAACATAAACTTGTTGCGATGAAGAAGTGCCATAGTACCAAAGTCTATTATAAAGTTTTCTGGAAATAAATAAGTTATTGCATATAAAATGGAACCAACAGAAAGTAGATTCCTATAACAATATTCACAAACTCATAATAATGTTTTTTTTCAAATTTTGCCTCTCATTTTACATTATGAATATGACTTATCGATCTGTACCTACCATTCTAATTAAGTAAAAGAAAAATGAAAAGACACGTCAATATTAGTAAATTACTTAAACCAAAAAATAAATAGGAAAGCATGTACATTTTTGAAAAAAAGACATTAAAAGACATTGTTAGAATTTGTATTATGAAAAAAAAAAAAATTGTAGCATCTAAAAATGCTTTAGGTTATTTTTTTGTACGCTTGAGTAGAATTTGAAGCTGTTTATTGATTTTTAGATACTTATATAATATTTTTTCTCATAAAAATCGTATCTATCAATCATGAAATAGAAAATATGCATTTTTTATGTTTTTGCAATTTTTTTCAGAAATCTATGATATTCTTACCAAAGCACTTTCATTTAGGTATCATTGTCAAAATCTTAAAAATGTTTAAACAGCTCAAGTGTGAAAATAAATTCAAATAAATCTAGGAAAAGTAAATGTAGATTATTGTTGTTAAATATATTTAAATGATATTTTTATTATTACAATTATTTTAGGTAGACACTTTTTACCAGTTGTTGAATTAAATAATTATATTTTTTATCATGGTATTATTCAAGACAAAAAAAAATCTGTTGTGGTGAGGTACCTCACCTTCTTAATTATCGTTTTTAAAAGTATGTCTAGCAAAATTGTACTCGCTTCGTCAAATTTGATTTGTTACTAAATATCATGATACAAAACTAGTGACAATAACAACTATTTTGGGTACCATTTTGCTTTTACAATTAATTAAGTACTTACCTACCCACCTGCTATCAAAAATCCAATTATTATTCTTGAGAATTTAATTTTGACATATCCAAAGCCTATAAGGTACACATAATGACATAAAAATAAATTTAAATAAAAAAAAGAGTAGGAAATGCTTAACATTTATGTGCGGTTCATGTAAACTATTTAGAAAAGTCAAATAAATGTGAAATGTAAATAGGCATCATATAGTTAAGAATGTTGAATAGTAATAGTTGTTTTAATACAATGTTTCAATTGGTTGATTTGCACATGTTTTGGCTTTTGTCCATTTTCTTAAATTGTTCAGCATTGAAACAAATGGGGCACTGTAGTATCACCCAATTTAAATATAACATAAAAATATTCTGACCAAAAGGTGTACCAACCTTTCATGAAAATAATTAAAATGGTAGAATTTCTTTGCCAAAACATAAGGCGATCAATTAAATAATGGAAGTTTTGCGTGTGTGGATGTGTTTTCAATCGGGCTTAAAGATATTTAAAACCAAAGAAAGCCATCATATTAACAGGGTTCACAGCAGAGACTTCAAACTTGGCAGTTTTATCAAGGGTCAGAAGACCTTTGAAACGATGTATCACTTGAATCCCGTTCCATTTGAGATTTGGGGGCTAAAGAGTTCCAAGTGGGAGGTGAATTTTGCATAGAAACTCATCCGCCTCCAAATTATTGACTTTCGGGGATTTTTTCTATTATTTTCATAGGGGTGTGAAGTTTTTAAATGGACACCCTGTATAGGATATGAATAGTTTCAGTATATTGATCTAGAAAGGGTTTATTAAATGTGTGAATTATTCTGGTCCTCATAACTGAGTACCTCAAACCCGATTAAAAACACTTCTAAAATTAACACTGGCGGTGAAAGCGTTTACTCACCTCATCCATGGAACTCGAAAGAAACACCCTTTTGAAATCATCATGTCCATATTTAGAAAATTATGTCAATATCTACAATGATTTTCTCGGTCAACAACTTTTATTGTTGCAAATTCGGTGCCTCACTTAAAACAGGGGATTAAAGGATTAAATGAATAGTGTTTGTAAAATATTTCCTATGTAATCGCACATTATTATGTTTTTTTTAATTCCTACTGATATATAGCCATACTCATATTCAGTGTAGGTGTTTATTGTTTTTTTTTCTCTTCAAATAAGTGTTATAGGTGTTTATGGCTGTATATTAGAAAACTATATGGGCGCACATACTCTTACACTTTTGATTTATAGAAATTTAAAGTTTAGAGTATTACGCAAAAGGGATCTTTGTTGGAAATTGAATAATTGTAAATTACTTTATAAGTTAGTGTAATATAAACTAGTGTCCACGCCTATGTCTTCAAATTCTTTTTTATTTATCAAAACAACATTTCATTATATAATCAATTAGCGTCTTCTATCAGTGACCTAACAACTTGTCTGATTGCGAAGTTTCGATGTTAGTAAAAGCAACCAGCAACCCCTGGGCTCTTAAAAACCTGATGACTAATATCAATACCCATATGAACTATAAAATTTACGAAAAAAAAAATAGGTGAGGTTCTGCTAATATTTTAAGTCATCAAGTTTGCTCTGCATCTACAAGGCTCACAGAAATCTTGGTTCCGTCCAAAATCAAAGTCCAATTAACACAACAATAATTTATTACAGATTACTATACACTCTGACACTAATTACTTCAATAATAAACTCAAACAACTTAACTCTTTACAACTCTTAGAATAATCACTATCTAAGTATCTAAATCATATCACAGCCAATATTAAGCTAAAAACTACTAACTAATACCGACCTTTATATATCCGTAATCCATTCTTGTGAAATCCAGAATAAACGCTGCTTGCATCTGTGTCCAAAATCAACATGCCCTTCTGATCGGGATAGGACAACACTGGGCTTGAACATAATGTTCTTATCAATTTTCTAAAAGTGAAATCACATTCTTGGGTCCAATTGAATGTTGATATTTCTTCCGTTAATCAATGAAGCGGAGCACCTATATTAGCGAATCCTTCTACAAATCTTCGATAGTAACAACATAATCCTAGAAAACTCCTCAGTTCATGTTTGTCGCGTGGTTTTGGCCAATTCCTGACAGCATTTATCTTTCCTTCCATAACTTGTATGTCATCTTCAGATACCACGTGACCTATGAATTCCACTTTCTTTTGAAATAGAAAACACTTATTTGGATTGAGTTTTAAGTTGTCATTCCGGAAGATGAAGAAGAAGAAGAAGAATTTTTTTCAGGTTACTAAGATGTTCTTGGAACGAATTTCCCATGATCATGACATCATCTAAATATACCAGGCAAGTTCTCCATGTAAGGCTTCACAAAACAAGATGCATCAATCGCTCGAACGTAGCTGGAGCATTACACAATCCGAAAGTCATCACGTTAAATTGGTATAACCCGCTTGCGGTACTGAAGGCAGATTTTTCTTTGTCATCTTTGTGTATTGCCACTTGCCAGATCCAAGGTGGAAAACGATTTGGAGCCCGATAGAGTTGTTAATGTATCGTCTATGCTCCCAGTGTTCACTTAGTGTCCACACTATTCTGCAATCGATTTTCACTTTGCAGTCCTCGAATTATATACCACTTCTGACACCAATGTCACGGCTCTTGGGTGCGTGACAGAAATCTTAAGTCCGTTTATTCCAAAATCAAAGTCCAGCTAACACAATAATAATTTATTCCACGTTACTATTCAGTCTGACACTGATTAGTTCACTAAGGCCCAGTTATACAATATTGGTTCACAACAAAGTTCAACTGAACTCAACTGGTACTTGAGCTTTCCCATTTAAAATACATTGCTGTCAGCTATTAATCAAATTCTATCAATTTTGACAACAATGCAGCTGAAATGGGGAAGTTCAAGTACCAGTCGAGTTCAGCTGAACTCTGTTTTGAGCCAAAATTGTACAACTGTGCCTAATTAACTCGAACAACTTAACTCTTTACAACTCTTAGAATAATAACTATCTGAATCATATCACAGCCAATCTTGAACTAAAAACTAATACCGGCCTTTATAAACATGCGGCATAGAAATCGGCCCATTACTAACTTTTGACTTTTGTTGTGGTTTAACAAGAACGACAGGCTTGTTTATTATTGTCTTTACACTACACTGTAGGTATAAGTGTTTCATATTGATTTGTTTTCAAATGTTTGATGTTTTCATAATTAATTATAGACGGAGAGCTGGCGGTCGCGGAGGTAGTACGATAATATCTACGCCTGAAATTTTGTGAATGGTTGGGTTGGGGGGACCATCAGGAAGTCCCATCTGCAAAGATTTTGCCCAAAACTCCTGCAATTTTTTTTTTTTTTAAATTGCTCAGAAAATGATCATACCTCTGGCTGAAAAATTGCACATAAGGTACCTGTTTAAAGGTCACAGATAACGTATAGGTAAATCGTCAGACGTCTAGGTCGCTGCAAAAAGGGTGTCAGACGCCCTGAAAGTTTTTATTTAATGGCATTTTCTTCGATTTCCTTTTAAAATATATTTTTGCAGATTCAACAAATATAGTCAGTTGGCAGTGGGCCGATTTCTATGCACGCAAGAGTATATCCTTAATCCATTCTTGTGAAATCCAGAATGAACGCGATAGCCCTTTTTCCTGAATAGCACTGTAAAATCTAGAATCAGCTGTCCAATTCTGTACACCCTGGCGCTTCCGCCAGATTTTCGCGACAATACATATAACATTGAATATGAACTAAATAGAAACAGAAATCTCATTTGAGATAATCTTACAAAACAATACCTATAGTAATACACGGCCCTGCTTCAAACATAAATCAACTTCACAGCCAGGTTAGCTACTAAAAAATTAAACATACGTATTCATCTATACACAAACGAAACAAACGAAAATATTTACATAAGGCAGGAAAACGAAATAATTTAAAATCCTATTCTAAATTAAAAAAACAAAGAACCCCGCACTAGTTACATTGAAACCCGACATTTATTCATGTTTTCTAAAACTTATTTGAAGTAAAATATGTATCTAATATTATATTTTTTATTTTTATTTTCTAGAGAATAATATTCCAAAATCTCAAACAATTTCACCGATGCAAGTTTTCAAATCAATTAATGCGGGTGTCTCTCTTATAAGACCTATATTTAAGTTAAAAACATTAATCATCTTGGTTCTGGACCTATATGGATGATGATCTTACGTTCCGCGTCGTACACATAATTATTACGTTCAAAGATTTCACTTTGATAAAAGGGCTTAACGTCGTGTAAATCAATTTGTTTTGCCTAAAAAACGAATTATTTGAAATAAATTCAAAACCATGAGACAAAATCATACCCTTTCAATAAGACCCTTTTCATCTATAATAATCAAAGTCTGCGTTCCATAACCAACAGTTCCATTAGTATGCCTTCGAGAACCGCCTTGATCTCTAGAAAGCTCTCTTAAAATGTGTAACAATGATTCAGTGTGATCTTTCTGGAACAATAGATATTTTTTGAAGACCTTCTTCATATACTCCATAACGCTATATTTCTGAGTTTCTATGAAACTTTCCAATATCATCCTAACAGCCATATTCACGTCTTCTTCCTGTACATATTCTCTCAAATGCATCTTAGCGTGGGCTTTAGTAATACGAATAATACTTTCAAGATGACGAACTGCTATAGGAACATTTCCAGTGGCCACAGACTTTTGTCTCAGCTCACTGTAGATGCCTGCAACCTTATCTTGGTCAAGGTTTTGTAATTTTGGATGGATGTTTCCTTTGGCGTACCCAATGTACTTTATCAACATCTCTTTTGAGATTTGTAGCTCATTTCCAACATCTTCTACTTCTCTTGAAGGATCATTATGAGAACTGAGAACAAACCTATAAATTATTAGATGTAAAATTTAATTTATTTTTAATTGCTGATTCAAATTATATTTTGGTTATGAATTAGTAGGGGTTTAGAAAAGGGTCCAGCTGCGAAACAGCAGTACAAAACATCATTTAGGTGATGACATTACTGAGGGAGCTGTGTTTAATAAGGACTTTAATGTATGATGCAATGATCTATCAGTAGTATATTTATATTTCTGTCTAATTATACAAATTTTAAATACTGTATGTTGCCCACTTTGTAATTGTCTTGACCTCTTAAAATGTGTGAATGATTTCTACTGTTTACAAAATTAATATACCTACATACGTTGTATTACGTGGAGAGTTCTCACCTGGCTAAATCTTGATCTCGATCAGGATCAACCTCGTCCTTAACAACGCAAACTATATCAAATTTGGTCAAAACAGAATCGCCCAAACTGACATTTTCCGTGAAAGTCATACTGTGGTTGTAGCGCCCTCCTATAGGATTAGAAGCAGCAATGATTGAACATCTGGCTTGCAAAGTGGTTACTTTATCACCCGTTGCAATTGATATGGATTGTTGTTCCATGGTTTCGTAGAGTGAGGTTCGTACTTCATCATTCATCTAGGAAAAAAGAGTTTTAAAAAAATATATTGAATCATCATCAATTATCTCACTTTGTCGAATTCATCAATAAGACACATTCCTTGATCTGCTAAAACTAAGGCTCCAGCTTCTAAAGTGCATACTTCTGTAGCAGGGTCTTTTTCGACAAAAGCAGTTAAACCAGCAGTGTTGGCACCATTAATGCATACAGCCTTTCGCACACTATTTGCAGCACATTTTAAAAATTGAGATTTTGCTGTTCCAGAATCGCCACAAATAAGTATGTTGATATTGTCTCTAATTTTAGATTTTTCTCCTCCACCGAACAAACTCAGAGCTAACGCTCTTTTAATATTTTCATGTCCAAAAATAGATGGAGCAATTGAAGCAATAATTTTTTCTGAAATTTTGGGGTTTTTGCTCATTTCTTTTATGGTGCTGATATCATTTTCTGTTAAACTTTGTGCTATGTGCTTGCAATCTCTGAGAACCAGATGGTTAGCGATAATAACTGGAGAGAACTGTGAAGTAAACATCTTCCCTGCGTTTAGAGGACTAGCCAAATTGTCAACGTAGATGCCTGTGATATCAATTTCATCTCCTGGTTTGCATTTGTCACATAAATCAGCTAACAGAATGCAATCTATTGACTGAGGAGATTCGCCAGCTGGAGATCCAGAAGGAAATACCTGCATTTTGATTTTCTGGTAACTCCTAAAGAGGGATTCTTCCTTCTTGATCTAGAAAAAGCAAAATATATTCAGGAAAATTTTTACATCACAACGTTTTGCAACAGCTAATAATTATTCTCCCCGACTATGGATCTGGTAACAAAAAATATAAAAAAACACCCAAATTGTACAAAAAAAGTAATAG